AGAATTTTACCTTTTAAGGATCAACATTTTGATAGGAAATGCCGTCTGTTCTAGTGCTCCCTGAGCGTTGGAGTGACTTAAAACAAATTAAAGATATGAAGACCAAGATCGTGTGGCCTTTTGTGTGGTCGCAGTCTCCTTTCGTTGTATAGAAGTTGTTTGACCTTTTTACGCAACTTGTTCATATTGGTAGGAAGACCTAGAGGAACGCACCTAGTCCGGAGTCCATACTATGCATCATCATTTTCAGAGTAGGACCGTGGACGTGGTAGATTCCCAGAATTGTAATATGGTGCTACGAATGGTGGAACTCACTGACGATGCCGGCGAAACGTCTGGGAATGTACCATGTCCACGGTCCGACTTTTGAAATGATCATGCATACAATGGACTTCGGACTAGCTGCGTTCCTCTAAATCTTCCTAACAATATGACCAAGTTGCGAAAATAATGTCAAACAACTTATTAAAACGAATTAATTCCCGCTGCATTCTTTTTTTCGTCAATTATCTCATCCCTCCAGGTCTTAAACAAACGGCTCATCCCTCCAAATGGTGCGTCTGGTGTGGCCAGCCAACTTGTCGAGTGCAAGCCGGTTGGCTCAGTCGGACGAATGGGTCCCTGGGAAGATGGGCTGTTGCGAAATGGAGGCTGTTTTGGGCTGATTGTTAACTCGGATTTTGCGCATAACGGCCGAGCCGAACCGACGACCCGTCGTCTCCCGTCGCCGTCCACCTCGCCAGCTTCGCCCATCTCTCACGCATCTGCCACCAGGTCGACTGCCTCAGTCAGTCCGCCTCGGTCGGCCCCTCCTTCCGTGGTTCGTGTGGCCGAGGGATCGACGGTGGGGCCCGAGGCCGGAGGGGTTTGTGTTGCGAGTGTCGCCGCCGCCGCTTCCCGACCAGCCGCCAGGACTGGCAGTCTGCCCATCCCCTCGTCCGCCACTCGCAGTCGTCTGCCCTGCTCCAGCACCTCGACGACTCGCCCCTCAAGGGCGGATGCCTGCCTCCCGGCCGGCAACAATCATTCCAGCTCGTCTTCTACTCACTCGTCCCATTCGTCTTCCAATTCGTCCCATTCCACCCTTTCCACGAACACTCGGCCAGCCCGTGCCGGTGACCCGCCTCGACGACCTCTTCAAGCCTGTCAACCGGCATCCTGTACCACGAAGCAGTCGATTCCGGTCGCCAGACTGCAGGCTCCCTCGGTCTCCACCCCCCCGATCGACTCGTCGGCTGCCAACCCGACTCAGTCAGCAGGCACAGGGACGACCGGAGTCAATGGCCTCGTAGGCCCGCCTGTCAACTGGCCGGGTGTTAAGGCTCAGGCATCAGGCTCCAATAATCTCTCGGCCAGACCGTTCGGCATGGCATCTGTCGCGAAGTCCGAGCTCACTCTCGACGGAGTGGCCAACTCTTCTTTCTCTCCTCCGGCAACCGGGACCAGCCGACTGCCTGGCATCCCGCGCAGACAGGCCGGTCTCTTGCTGCAACGGCGGCAACTCCAACCGTCCACACGTACACCTGCAGCCCAAGTCAACGGCATACAAGCCAATGGTTACAGAAACGGCCTGGTCACTGAGTTAACTTCGGCCAAGGCAGCAAAAGCGGTAAATGCCTCTTTTATAGCCGAGCGATCTCGTGATTGCCAACATTATCAACTTTATGAATCGATTTTTAATTTATATATTTATATATTTATATTTATATATGTAAACAATAGCTACACTGAAGGTTTTTTGACCTTGTTTTCGCAACTTGGTCATGTTGTGTGCCAACCCACAAACGTTGTGGTTCAACATTGAACCTAATCAAAGCAAGCAGTACATTTGTGGGTTGGCACACAAAAGACTAGGGTATGGGAAGTCATAAACTTAGTATTAGGGATAGTAACAGGATAGACGCGGCTGAGACTGGAGCTAGTTTACTGACGGTAGCTTTTACCATAGACGTGGTCCATGTAGCAAAGGCTTGATCATGAGACTTACTTAGAGAGGCTTTAGCCTCAAGTTACTCTCCCGGAAGCAGAGTGTGGGAAATAACGCCTCTGGTAGCAGAGATGGGGTAGCAGGAGTCGAGTGAAATAGTTGAACTAGGGAGATAATAGACAGATCATACGAGGCAAGAGGGAGTCTCTTATGAGACCTGGGGAAGGAGGACTGGGTAACAATATGGCAGACTCTGATCAACATTCCCAGCAGAAGGGAGAAGAGGTGAGAACAACAGCGTGGAGTGTAAAGGGTTTTCATGAATGCCGCTCAAAGGAGCACACCACACCACATCGAAATAGGCACGGTGAAAATTGTAATAGTGAACGCGTGATAGGAGGATATAGGAAATGTGAATAGCCGAGGACGGAAGGAGAGATACCACAACTGTTTAGCACACATTTGGTTAAAGGATCGGCTTCACTTGTCTCTTTGATGAGTTGTAGTGTGGTGCTAAGAATGGCAAGAATCACTGACGATGCCGGCGAAACATCTGGGAATGTACCACGTCCATGGTCCAACTTTTTAAATAATCATGTATACAATGGACTCCGGATTAGCTGCGTTTCTCTAAGTCTTCCTACCAATATGACCAAGTTGCGAAAACAAAGTCAGACAACCTCTATACAACGAAAGGAGACTGAGACCACACAAAAGACCACCCCATCTTGGTCTTCATATCTTCGAATAGTTACACTACTTCAAAATCCCTACATAAGGTTGACATTCTTACATTAATGAAAAATTACATTAATTAAAAGTGACTTTATATCCTTACGTTTGCATTATCTTATACATCTTGCTAGCTTTAACCTTCCTGCGAGGTTAAATTCGGCACCTGTTTCTGTTAGTGATCCTACAAATCTAGGCTACAAAGAGATATGATCAAATGTGAAGCAATCTTGTTTTGGGTGGCCAGTTTCTGTTGGATTCTAGAGATACGCCTGACCTTTGATGATTTTAATACGAAATATGGTATTGATAAATTGACCCTTTCTAGGAGCAGATATGTTGTTCTAACAAAGTCGGTGTTCTTTTGTGGTTTGAGGACCGGGGTCCAATTACCACTAGATTAAGGTTTCTCTATATCACTGTCCGGCCTCGCTTTTATCTCCTCTCTTATAACATTCAACTCGCTTAAATCATAAATTATTTCTAAACATATGTTAGCTGTTTTCCACAGGTGTTATGTTTAGTTGGGATGCCATCTACTGCTTCCGACTCATTTGATCGAGATTTGATTTTTTTGAGATAGATCACCCTATTTCGTTCAAGATGACTGGTAGGGGAATTTTTCCATACCTTTTTGAGTAGCCCTCACATTTCCATTCAATTTCACATAACTTTGCTTCCAAAAACTTATTTTCTTCCAGGCGAGACTGAAGTCTCGACCTTGCCTGAACTGGTCTCATCAGCACCTCTGGCTGGACTCGAACCCGGGTTTTGGTAGTGTCGGGTATAGGCTCGACACTTTCGAGTCCCCCTGTGGGGTCGAAGGAGACCAGTTCAGGTGAGGTCGAATCTGCAGGATATCTCTTGTGAAGAAAGACTATGTGAAATTCAAAGGAAATGTAAGGCCTACTCATATCAATTCACCTTAACGAAATAGGCTGAACACATCTCACGTATATGATCTACTGGTTGTCACGAAAAACTACTTATAAACGAAAAATACTTTAAATTTTCTTGTGAATTGGGAACCGGTACCTCCAAAGTTCTCTGATTGTCGCCAAAGCCATTAACTTGGGGTGCAAATATTTCTGTTTCATTTCTGCTGAACGGCAACAACCTCATTTTCATTGTTTGACTTTTTGGAACTTTCCTCTTTTTCCTGCCTCAGGCGTCCAGCTGTCTGACTCATGCTAGGCCCTCGCAGGACATGGTACCTTCGTCTGTCAAGCCCGGCCCTAATGACGGTGCATTCGGCGCAGAACCTGTCTCCAAGGGGAACAGCACCAAATCAGTTGTAGTTGGCTCCCTTGTCCGACTAAATTCCGACACCAAGGCCACGGTTAGACGTTCCCTTGAAGGGAACGTGCCCAAATCGATAAGAGGAGGTCGGAAGACGTCTTCCAGTAAGCAGCGTCACTTCTTCTTCTGTTAAAGAAATTTAATAAAATCTTTTTCCTTCTACTACATAACTATTTGCTTGTG